CCCCAAAACCCCAAAACCCCAAAACCCCAAAACCCCATTGATTACGATCTCAAATTATAAAGTGAAATAAGATATAATAAATTAAAGGAGAGAATATAGGTTTAATCTTAATTTTTAATTCTGAAAATGAATAATAGTAGTAACACAAGCTCTAACTTTAAATAAACGAGACAATACACATAATAATCTGGCTCCAAAAATTAATATCACGATTTTGATATCAATATTGAACATTCGTCAACCCCAAATCATACCTTTCATAGAACTAACAGTACTAAGGAACCTAACTAAGCTAGATTTTTAGAGTAATTGTAGCAATATCAAATGTCAGCAAATCAAAGAGAAAATTAGTTGACAAATCAGGGATTAGATTTTACAATAAATGTAAGCACTTAGAGTTCTCCATCAAAGGGTGCAGTATTGAGAAGGTCTAGATCTTCTCATCAACAGTCCAATAAATTCCATCATTCCATCAGAAACGACTTTATTACAGATCAGGATTTAGAGTACCTATCATCAGAGAGTAGAAGTGGTCTCATTTAATCTAGTTCTAAAGTAAAATAATTTAAATTTAATTATTAGTAGGTTTGCCCTCCTTAATTTCAAAAAATTAACCTAGACCCAAGAACTCCCGGACTTGGAAATATGGGTAATACCTGCTTTGCAAACAGCGTGTTACAATGTCTAACTCATACTCCTCAATTTTTATCATATTGCTTGAAAGGCATGCACTCTTAAAAGTGTCCAGCAAAGTTATAATAGAATGGACCACTCATGATGCTAAATTCATTTAGCTCTCATTCAAGCTAAACATTTATGAGATCAGCGATTGTTCAATAAATTTTGAATTCAGACTAGTTTTGTTCCTTTTGCATAATCGAGGCTCATATTAAAGAAATATTCAATGAAAGGGATAGGGGAACGAAATTTGTATATCCACTAAGTGCGATAATTTTGATAAAGAAGGTAGCATAAGGTCTCTTTGAAGTTGGAAGACAATGTGATGCATCAGAGTTTTTGCTATGTTTGCTAGAAAATTTAATCCAGTCTTCATTTGGGTATTTGAACAATGTTCCGTTCAAGCTACAAAGAGAAACAGTCGTTTCTAAGATCTTCTAAGGTATGCTTGAGAGATAAATTATTTGCTGCTCCTGCACTAATATGACTACAATAGAGGAAGCCTTCCTTGATCTTAGTTTGGTAACATATTCCTGTATTTATTAATTTACCCAATAGAATTTAACTTCAAGCCATAATGATCCAAATATGACTCACACATAATTGTCATCTTAACCTGTTGACTTGCTGGACTGCATTAGTGAGTTTTTCAATACTGATACACTTGATGAACAAAATAAATATCATTGCTAATCATGTGGAAGGTTAAGTAAAGCTCAAACTAGATTCAGAATGAAAAATTGTAAATTCTTTAATTCTTAAATTAAAATGTTATAGTACCTAAAATTCTCATTGTACATCTGAAAAGATTTACTCCTTTAGGTACCAAATTAAAAACCCCTTTAAATTTTCCTGAGTATTTTTCCTTTGACTCAGATTACATTCTTGATGAAGTCGCATTTCAAGAATAAGACCATCAATATAAATTGTATGCTATTATCGTACATTAAGGCTATTCAGCTCACAAAGGTCACTACTATAGCTATATTAAGCCGCCTTACTCAGATAACTGGTTCAAATTCGATGATGAATCTGTTAAGTTAATTGAGAATATAGAAACTTAAATGCTCTCTACTTAGAAGGCATATATTATGTTTTATCAAAAAATTAAAATCCAAAAAAATCAAATTAGGGGTTAATTATCTACCAGTCCCAATAAGATATCTGAGTTAAAGAGGCAACCAGAAATAGATTTATTCAAAGAGAAAATCCAAAATGATAAAAAGACTATCAGTGATTAAAAGAGGTCAACTTCGCCAATAAAGATTTCATTAAAGGAAAAGTATCCTTTGATCCAATTAAAGAATTAATAAACTATAAGAGTCTAAAAAACAACTTTAATTAGCAATGAAGAAGTCAAGTAGCCTGACCTAGACATTCAAATTACTGATACTTCAAGCCATGAATACTCAACTAGAACTAGAAAAATAATAAATTAAACGATAATTGATGATCCTGAAAATATCTTAAGGAAGTAAAGATCTCAAAAAATAAACATAGGTTCATCTTAAGCTACCATTTCTATTAATCTTTAGAAAATTAAAGGTCCTAATTCAATTAAAAAGGTTAACTCTAATAATATAACTAGAAGTAATTTCAGTTCTCGTAATTCGAATTAACAACTATAAATTAATTCAAACCTTGGTAGTAACAACTCTAAATAATCTAATTAAACTGCTACGGGTTTAGGTATACATTCAAAGTTCAAAAATCAATATAGTAAGAAGCCTAAAGTATTACTTGTGAATAAATCAAGAGTTGATTCTTAAAAATCAAAATAAAATAACTCTGCCTTCTAATCTTTGTCTAACTCAAATCACAATAGTACCAATGCTGCTGGCTTAGGAAGTAACCATGGAAGTGCTAATTCAACCAAAACTAGGAGCAGTGTAAAAAAGAGGATACTTCAATAAGATAAAAATATAATATACCTAAGTTCATCTAGAAAATGAATAAAATAGTAGTGAAGAGATGCTTTAAATATTTGAAATACAAAAATTTCAGTAGCTAAATAGAAATACAGTTTGTAAGGTCTTATCTTAAATAGTAAATTTTCATGAATGTATTTTCATAATTTACTTAATCAAATTAAATCATTTTACTCTTTATATTCAATTTGATCTTAGATAGAGGGGTTTTGGGGTTTTGGGGTTTTGGGGTTTTGGGGTTTTGGG